TAAAGACTCCAATATAGGAGCCTTTTGTTTTGAGTTATACCAAAATATATTTATTTAAATATGCATGATAAAACAATACTAAATATAACTTATAAGAAGATTTTAAAAACAGTTTTATGTAGTCATTTTAACATATCATTACACTAGTATTATTTTGCTATGAGGTGGGTGAAACCTTGTTATCGGTTAAATTAAAACTGATATGCAGACACACCCTTCACTTAAAACAGTTGTAAGAAACATTTAAGGGGCCACACCTAAAACAAGGCCTAATAAAATCTGCTAGAAACTAGCACCTGCTGTGCAAAAGTTTGTTTGGGTATTATGGGTGGGTAAAAAAGACAAGTTGGCAACTGAGGAGAGGCAGAGAAAAAACCAAGCAGTAGCTTGGGTACAAAAAACAAAAGGCTCCTATATTTAAAAGACTAAACTTTACATAACCATGAAAACAAGGAAAATTGCTCAGTTATATTGCTACAATGTCATATGAACCTGACAAGCAGTGGCTCTAGGTCCTACTGTCCTAGGCTAACTGGAAAACCTTCACCTCTCAGCGGAAAGTAATTAATCACTAATAGTTTGCTGTCCCAGGCAAGCATTTGTTCTTCTTGGATGACGGGGCATCCATTCTTACTTGCCGGGAGTCAGATTAGATGTATGTATTTGCATATATATATTTGCATGACTTTTATGATCAAAAATAGATGCACACAATCACAGTATGTGTTTGTACTTTTATCTTCCATAGTAGATGAATAAAATTGCTTGTTAATTCACTGCAATAAAAAGTTGGAGTTGATCAGCTTCATCTTTACCCAACAGTTACATGGAGCTGGTGATTGGGGAATACATTTTATACCTAGTCCATATTTAGCTGACATGTTGTGTGCCAACATAAGTAGGTAAAGCAAACCATGAACCAATTTCTCTAATTGCTTTTGTCCAACATAAAATGCTCCCTCTAACTTAAGTTGTGGAAGTTATTCTTCACTTTCTGTTGTAAATAATTGTGAAGTGTTGCTATGCATTTTTAAACAGCAGATAGGAAAACATCTCTCCTATAACTCAGTCAGATAACACCGCTGATTAATTTGGCCCATTGTTTTTGTGGTAAATAAATGTTTCTGCTATTGTTACTGAAAAACTAGGAGAATTATACATACAAAAAACATACACCAGAAGAATGTTATTTAAGTTGCAAAGTCAGCACTCAAAAGCTAGGAAATGCCAAAAATAAAGTTTATAACCTACAATTTTTCCATAAGACCCTTGCCTCATTCAATTCACATGATAGACAGCACTCAGGAAACAAATCAGCGTCATGTTGTTAATGAGTCTGTTGTCCTTAAGATCTCTACTCAGTTGCTTTTAGAAGTTAGAAGGTGGGGATAGCCTGAGGATGAAAACTAGCTACTCTTGTGGGAAAAGCTATTAACCTCGGTTCTATCTCTGGCTTTACAAGGTTTTCTAAATTATGCGAGGCAAGTCATTTAAACCATTTTTTTCACAGGAAGCCACTAATAATGTATTCCATATTTTCTGGGTGTCAAATTTGACATATATGAGGCCTCATTTGCAGAAGTGCTGAGCAATCATGGCTACAACTGGAAACAGTAGGTGCTATGAACAATCAGCAGCTCCAGCTATAATGCAATATAGCCTGGAGTATTGAATGTAGACGTTTTAGTTGCTGGGTTCTAATCCTGTGCTTGCCATTGACTCCTCAAATATGTGACTGATAATTTACTGTACTGCTGTAAGCCCCCCTTTACATTAGGGCAGCACATATGTATTATGGATATTGTGCACAATTTGGTAAAACTTGTCCACTTCTAGTTTGTTTTATTTATTGTTATTTAATAAGTGAAAAAGTACTATATTGAAAACCATATGAAATTAAGGAATACAGTGAGAATTGTTTTCTCATTTTATAAGAAATACTATATTAAATGTACTGTGGTCTTAATAATAATAGAACATTAGTACACAAGTGCTTCAGAATCTAACAGGTTGAAAAATAAAATTAAAAAACTGGGATACCCCTCCCAATAATTTTACTATTGTAAAATTAAATATATATAAAAAGTACTTGATCATACAGTCTGTCATATGTATTTTCATAAATACTGTAGAGCAGTCTTGAAGGTAGCATGTGACGAAATGCACCCCTGCATTCACACCCTACACACTATTGCAATAATCTTTGTACAAAATATGCCTTGTGAGATATCATTTGAAAACTAATAACTCACTGGTCAATAATATCATGGTGAAATGTGTGTAGCAACATTATCTCTAAGGTTATGAATATAAGATGAAATTATGACTAAAATGTGTTTACCAGACAAGTCTGGGGAGCGGGTAAACCTATTCCTCAAAGACAGAGGACAAGCCAATGCCTCTAGCCAGGTGTTATCAAAGTCAAATGGCAACCACCTGTCAAGTGGCCATTCTTTGGCAACGAAAAGGGGCAGGAACAGATCAATTTACATTTTAGCAAACAACATGGAACCTCTTTCACCATAGCTGGAAAGAAGTTTATCTAGGGGTAACCCTCAGAAAAATGCACTATAAAAGTAAGGAGCAAAACCACCCCAGTATCTACCTTTTTTGCTCTCTTTCACCCAAGAAGACAAAGGAACCAGCCCTTGTGTGATGGGATCCCCGGGGTGCAGCCTGGGACTGTGGGACTGCTGTGTCCCCTTAAATCTCCAGCCTGGGATGACTCTCACAATGGTTTGCTAGTGACAAGTAGCAAGCCCCTCCAGGTGCTATCACTCAGCACAACCGCATGTGGAGCCCCACACCCAGCTAGATTGCATGAATGCTCCCAGAGTCACTCATGAATCACACAGAGAAAGGCACCAGCCAAATCCCCCCAGCTCTCAGCCTTGTACCTCACGAATATACCATCTTGCACTGCTCAAGATGAGCAGTTCAAATTTATTAATTGGTTCACCACTTCAGCAATGGAAAGTGGATATGCACCAACCTTTGTAAACCTGAGCAAACACCCTTACCAAACACTTCAGGCAAATTCACCAGTGAAGATAAACAATTAAACAAATGTATTGACTACAAAAGATAGATTTTAAGTGATTATAAGTGATAGGCAAAAAAGTCAGTTAGTTACCAAAAGAAAATATAAGCACGCAGTCTAAACTCTCAATCCTATTAGACAGGGCAACATCTAGATTAAGCAGTTTTTCTCACCCCACTGAATATTTCAGTCCTTAATATACAGGTTTGTCCTTTAAACCTGAGCCAGTCTTCTTTGTTGGAGTCTTCAGTCTTCTGAGTGTCTTTGTTGCTTGCAGCATAGGTTGGAGGAGGAGAAAAGGCCAAGCCTGGGGCCCCTGTGTTCTGTTTTATACCCTCAGTCCGATGAGCTTGGAGAACACAAGTCCAGGCATGTCTGGTGGGCATTGCTGAGTCCCCAGGCAAGGTTGAGCAATTCCTCTGGTGTGGCCTTATGCGGGTGAGTCATTGAATTGTAGCTCCCTTGCTGGACAATGGCTGTTAATGGTTGTTTGACACCCACCCAGGTGTTGGTTACTTTCCTTGGCATTGTCTCTGGAGAGCTAGTATGTGGATGCTTCCCAAATCCACAGCATATTTTAGTGACAACCATACAACACAATTCTCATAGCTTTATGCATTAATGATATACGTATTTCGATAGTACAGTGACTTTCAGAAGATCATAACCTTTCCCCTGATACCTCACGCGGCCTGCTTTATATGCAATATAAATTATATATAAATGAGAAATATGGGGGCAAACTCTCCCCCGAGGTACAGAGTGTCACACCTTGGACTTTGGATAGCCCTGTCACTAGGAACATATGGTAAGGATTTTATCTTGAACCAAGTCTTGTTTGTTAAGTGTTAGCTACCGGTACTAGAGAGCATTTTATCTTCATTCCTCTTGTAACCGTTTCTGACTTTAATACCTTATAATTGTACTAACTTAAAATCTCTCTCTTTGTAATCAGAACTAATCCAGTGTTGTATTTAAACTGAAATGAATATCTCCACTTAAAAGCAAACTGTTGAATATTGATCCCTTACAAGGGGACCTCTAATATTGAACTGTCCAGGAGAGGGACGAACAATGCAGAACAAATATTTTGGGGGAAAATTCAGGACTGGGAGTGTGTTGGGGTCACTCTGCAAGTGGTAACCAAGGCTGGTGGAAACCAGAGTGTTGCTGGCAGGCCATAGTTATACACAGACACCCAAGTTATGACCTGCATGCTGTTTGTGAGTGGCCCAGGTTGGGAATTACAGTAGCAAAGCATTGTGAGGCACCCAAAGATGCAGGACAGGTGGATTGCAGCTTGGAATGTGACAACCACCAGTTTTCTTTCATGCTTCAATTTCCAGCCATCAGAGCGCATTATACCTTCCTATGCTAGATTGAAGAGCCTATTATCAAGTACTTGTTTATTTATGAGAGCTATTAGTTATTCCAGAGGCAGGCCCGGCTTTAACATTTTTGCAGCCCCAGGCAAAAAAAAAAAAAGACATCGCCCCACTGTAACACCCACCCCCCAGCGCCGGGCTGCCGAAACCCCCACCCCTCGCAAGCGTCGCACCACCCAAACCCCGAGTGCTGGGCCGCCCCGTCCAGAGGAACTCCCCGTGGAGATACTCTGAGAATCAGAGGGCTTTTCCTGATTTAGCATAGCCCATGACTAGGCTGCTAGGCACTGTGAGACTGCAATGACTAAATAATATAAAAAGCAACAAAGAGACCTGTGCTCGCCAAAGACACTGTCATTGTCTCCTGCCCAAGGCACCCCCCACAACCTACTGCCCCACAGGCCTCTCCCCCTCCCCAAGGCAGGGCGCTTGGGAAGCCGAACAACCGCCCCCTCCCTCAGCACTGCAGCCGTGACGCGTCGCCCACCCGGCTCCCGTCCCGGCCCGTCCACCAATGGGGGAGGGATCACGCCGATGTGGTCTCCATAGTTACGCCCATTCCTCAGCCTGCCGTCAGTCACTGCGGTGAGGCTTTGCGACACTGGCTGTAGGAGTCACGGCAGCTGGCTAGAGCTTGTCAGCTGATTTACTGCACCGGAGAGTGGGGCACAGGGGCAGAGAGCCCTGGGTACCCCCTTCCCTGCGAGCAGGGGCCAGGGCCGGGCCACGCACCACAGACTGCGGCAAGGTCGGGTCTTGCCTGTACAGGTTAGTGCCTCACTTCGGGGGAGGGGTAACTGCCTAGTCCCACGGGGGACCCCCACCCCCACTTCTAGGGAGGAGGCTTTGTCTCCTTCTCCGAGTGTGACCTCCCGCGCCGGGGGGCGTGCGGCTTGGTTCTGCCTTGGCCACCTCCCCTGCAGCGCGAGCCCCCTCGGGGCCGGGCTCAGCCTGGCAATCCTGTCCCCCCGCGTGAGCCCAGCTAGGTGTGGGGGACGGGGCTGCCTGGCACCCCCCTGCAGCTCAGCTGGGTGTCAACTGGGTCATTTCAGGGGGGTTGCGTGGGTGGCAGTCACTTGCTAACATTGTCTTGGAATTACTCCAATCAGGAGGTTCAGGATCTGGCTGAGTTGCAGACCCATTGCTGTCACCAGACCATATTAATTCAGTTAATTGTGTTACAGCTTTCACTTTCCAAACAGTTATATGCCTTTATGAATTAGTACTCTTTTAGAAATTGGGCTCAATAAGAGGTGAGTTTCCATGAGTATCATGGCACAACATGTGGTTACAATATGAGGGAGGGGGGAAGGATTCTTTTTGCATATTGGAACATAATGCCTGTGGAGGCGAAACAGATGTTACAGTGGTACTAGGTTTTATTTGAGTTGTGGACACTCTCCATCACCACAAGTATTATAGATGGCATCCTACCAAATTCCATTTTGGTCAGTTTCAGGGCCAGGGGTTTTTAAAATTTGTCAATTTCAGGTCTTCAGTTTACATCTGAAATTTCACCATTTAGTATCCCTGGGGGTCCCAACCCAAAAGGCAGGCAGAGTGTGGGGGTTGCAAGGCTATTGTAGACGGGTCATGGGATTGCCACCTGTACTTCTGCCCCGCTTCTGGCAGGGGTGCTGCCTTCAGAGCTGGGCAACCAGAGAGAAAGGCTGCTGACTGGGAGCGCAGCTCTAAAGCCACCACCACCACCACCAGCAGTGCAGAAGTGAGGATTGCAGGGTATGGGAGGGTTGGATTACCATATGTCAGGTTTTCCCAGCAGTCTCCTGCATCATGGGGGTAGAGGTGACAGCTCAAACTGCGGAGCTTCCTGGAGGTGGGTCTGACCCATCCCAGGAGTAGCCCATTCAGGGGAAGCGGAAGTCTTGTCCCTCCCCATCCCCAGCTGGACCCCTGCGTAGTGTAGGAACCCCTGACTAGGTGCCAGATTTCACAAGGGAGATAAGATTTCACAAGGGAGATAAGGTCTGTGATGTGTTTTTCACTGCCATGAATTTGGTAGGGCCCTAATTATAGAATCAGTTAATAGGTGTATGATGGCACCTATTGCTCATTTAAAGCAAATCCCCTGTTACAGGGTAGTCTTTAGGAATTAGTAACTTTGGTAGTGACTTGATGCCAGTCAGGAACTCATTCCTCTCCATCCAGAGCTCAGGATTTCATAGTCATTGTTTTCCTCAATTTACTATTGTTGTGAAAGCAGATGCTTGCACCCACATAGCACTTGGTGGATTTACATGACACTTCATGTAGGTACAGATGTCAGCCAACACAGAGCTCATTGCAGGATTGAGGTCTGTTGTATCTTTTAGAATTTTTTTCTCATGGGAGAAATTTCCCTGTGTGGTAGGACAGGAACATGAACGTGAGGGTGACTGCAAATGACTTATTTACAGATTTAGCATCTATTCCTGTGAAGATTTATGCACATGCTTAACTTGTGCAGGTAAGTAGCCCAACTGAAGTAAACAGGACTCCTGAAGTTCATAAAGTTAAGCACTTGTATAACTCTTTGCAAGATCAGAACCTTGGAGTATAGATCTTGCTACAGCAGCACAGCCTCTGACTAGGTTAGAGATTAAATGAATTCAGTAAACTGAGTTATGGTAGCACTTTTGGTTTTTATGGTAGAATGTTGCTGATAGCTTTAGATATCACTCATGAATAGAGGGAACCTCTGCTTCTTTCTCCTTCCACAAGTTTCAGGATAGAAAGATGTTGATAATTGTCATCTTATGTTTTTGTAATACACCCATGTACGTTAAGACACTCTATAGATAACAGTATAGGGTGATTTATATGGTACAGCACCTTTTGATTTCTAAGTTCTGGGAAGTTCTCTAAGAAATTAGTAGCTTTAAAAAGAACTCCTGATTAGGGAAACTTGTATGAGTTGTACAAGAAAAGTCATCATAACATGATCCCTATTGTTTTATGTAATTCCTTTCATAATAGAAGGCAAGATAATCTTAGGAAATAGCAAGGAGTTTTAAATCTAGTTTCATAACTACCTTGAGTAACTTGTACTTCATGTGACAGCTTGAATGAGGAAGGTTTTTTGATAAAAAACGAAAGTGAGATTTTTTTAAAGTCATCATTAAGGAAAAAACCCTTCATTACAGAAATGAGATGCTTTTAAAAAATGGCTAAAATTAATGCTATGTAAGTGATTTTATAAAATGAGAAACTAGAAATAATTCATCTTCTCATATAAGCAACTGTAAAAGGTATGTTCAGCCTTAGTCTCATATATGTATTGTTAAAAATTATAGTCTGCACATGTATGACTTTAATAATTCTGTTCACTCACTCAGCTGGGGTGAGTAAAATATCCACCTTTAGCTTTTTCATTATCATTGCTATCATGATTAAAGTTTAAGGTGTATATCTTGTGTCTGGGCTGGTAATATTTTATGAATATTTTGCAAGCCAATGAAGTCCTAATTTTAGAAAGTCTGCTTATTTATTATTGATTTGGTATTTGTTTGGCAATAGTGTTTAGCGAATTAATATCTTTATTTGTAGTACGGTAGTACATATGACCCAATCAAGACCCATTATATTAAGGCTATAGAAACAAGTAACAAGAAGACAGTCCCTGCCCTAGAGAGCTCACATCATATGTTTATGATAAGATGCAACAGGTAGCTAAGACAGACAGATGACCCAGGGTGGCATTTGAGAATTGACAAAATGAGTGATCTATCTATCTATCTATATCTATCTATCTAAAACTTCAAACGTTGGCCTTTTTAGGTATGAAGTACTTGTAGATTAATTTAATTCCAAGGTTAAGATGAAATTTATCATTTAAATGAGTAAAGGTAGTTAAACTTTCATGCATTCTGTATAGTTTCTTAAAAACAAAAAAAGAGGCTGGATCCTGCAAAAACTTAATGCGTATACTCAACAGGACTACTCGCACATAAAATTAAGTGCATCCAAGTGTGATGGAGGCAGCTTTAAATTCATGACACCTAGAATAGAATAGTTTCCTCCCCAGTATGAGGTAATTCATTTTCATTTTTCTGACTATGATTTTATTAATGTTCCACAGATATTTCAGACTTTTCTGAAATGGTTAGAATTAATGAAGATATACCACACTAAGAGTTTATACTGTACCCATTGCTGTATATTGGAGTGCCTAGTCTAAAATTAATTACCCTTTTACCTTTAGGGTAATTTTCCAGGCCAATTTAATGCTTGGTCAGCCTGATGAGACTGATAGCCAGGTTGCAATCATTGTATAGATACCCATGCATAGTACCTGGATTGAAACCGTCTACTCAGTTTATGTGAGCCCCTTCACAGCCTACCAACTTGGGCCAAGTTCAAAATAGTGATGTGGGACCTGATCCTGCAAACATTTCTGCACGTACTTAACCTTACTACCACAACCAGTCCCATTGACTTCAGTTGGCCTACTCATGGTTAAGCATCTGCACGAGTTAGCAAGATTAGGGTTTTGAAGGTGAAAGTCTTTGTATCCTGTTGTTAGTCCATAGATACATCGAGTCTTCTTGACAGCTGCTTTAATTTTTTGTCGTCAGATGTCCAGAATTGAGCATCGTAAAATGAATAAATGTACAGTTTAACTCACCAGCTGTTAATTCTTCTCTTCAGTTCCTTTCTCTCTGCGTGGGGGAGGAGGGGGAAGTTTCATTAAAACTTGCCAACCTGAATATCTTTTTGTGACTTCCTGCATGTAAGTAATATCCTGCTGTGCCAGCACAACAAGAAATTCACTTCTTGGTTGTGCTATAATGTTGTAAAGAAATGGATTTTTAGTTGAAATGTAATAAAAAGAATTTGGATTCTTGCAGTGCTTTCTTCGCTTGTATTTTGTCTGTGAATCTGTACATCTTAAAACAGTATTGAAATCATGTAGCTGTTATTTTCAATTCAATACATTGAGTGGATAAAGTACAAGGGAATAATTGTCATTCCCTATTCTGGTAGAATGTTCCACACTTGCCACCTGTCAACTGAGATGATAGTAACAGTCTGTGATACGTGTCAGAAAGAAAGACCTGTCTTCAAAATCATTTTATTGTACTTAGTATAATGCAACATATGCACTCTAAAACTGTATTTATTGTGGTGATTCAAAGGCATTTCCATCATTGACACTTTTTGAATTATTTATTTGGATAGGTATACAATATATAATTTTCTTCCTTTCATTTTAATAATAGGCAAGGAAAGCATCTAGCGGCATTTAAATTAGATAAAAGCTGAATTCAAATCATCATCATCATGGCAAATCCCAAAGGGATGTTGCCTCCTTGCTGATCAATTGCCACCTAGGTCCTTAATGTGACCTGGCTGGATATTCAACTTATGTCCATCACAGGCGATCTTATCGTGCCACGGAAGGTTTTGGTGACCACATGATTGCTGGCCATGTAGCAACATTCCTCAGTAAACACGTTTTGGAATTTGTTGGTCTTCCACCCTAATAATGTCTGTACCAAGAAAGCCTCTGAAACCGAAATAGTGCTGATGGAGGTGGTTGCTGGGTTTGACTGAATGCAAATGTATTCTGTAACTACTGAGAAACTTTTGAGTTACAACTAATACATTGATTGGTACTGACTGTATTTACTGAACAACCAGCATGTGTGGGTGGCATCATCTAGTGGTGAAAACACAGCCCTGGGAGTCAAGCCATCTGTGTGACTTTCTGTGTGACATTGGGCAAATTATTGTTTTTGCTTTTAAAAGCATACACTTTTGGCATGGTT